TCTGTGGATAGGAGGTATTCTCAAAACCATTGTTACTCCATTTCCAATTATTTTAACCCACTGATATAAATTACTGGAGCTACTTTGGCTCATTTGATAGTAATGAACTAGTGAGTGTTGGTAAGAAGCCCCGAGGCAGCAGATGGGAATGTAATCCCTGGCTGGTGGTCACCAGGAGGCTGCTCACAACATTGATGTCTTCATTTGGCACAGTTTAATTATAAAGATGACATTTCAGTGGAAACCTCTTAATTTATGTAGAAATTGCATAGAATTCATCTACCCATGGGAAAAGAAGCAGCTCCGATTGGCTTGCTCTGGTCTCTCACTGTAGCCATGGTTTTGTGTGACAGCCTGGGTAGTGGCAGAGCCAACTTCCTACTAGCACTTGTCTGGTTTTGCCTGAAAGTGAGAAAAGGGGGGAAAATCTCATGAGCTTTTGACCTCTAGATCAGCTTCTCAGTGTGGTCCGTGGCACAGCCTGTGGAACAACTGTGCCAACACACTTGGAGCAACTGAGGGATGCAGTGGAAGAACTGAATGGAGGCAGGACAGCCACAAATGACTGTGGCTGCCAAAACCGTTTCCCTCCCAAATTTTGCAGCATCACTGTCTCTTCATTCTCTTCCTACCTTCAAGGTTTTCCCATTTGCACTTAGGTGCAGCTAAAGCAATCTATGCCCCAGCAAAGATCTTTGCAGTCAGTCTGTAATGGAAACCCTCTGGGTTTGTAACCCACTATTTTCACCCAGGCCTTGCCAGGCTGATCAGTTCCCCAGGCATTCTGTTACTAAATAAAGGAATGCAGCATTTTATCTTCACCCCTTAGCTTGATTGATGTGTATTTAGTGTTTTCCACAAGGACCATCTCGCAGTAGAGCAGTATCTCCTTGCTGACTCTGGTGTGATCATTCTGCCTCTACTGTGATGTGGTAGTCTTCAAACTTTATCTCCAGGCTGTATCAGTGCACCTGGTGGTGCAATCAGGGTTAGATTGCCTTTCCAAAATTTATGTGTCTTTAAAAAAATGATAAAGCACCACCTATTGACTAGTCCTCTAAACATAGTACTCTAGTAGAGGACTTTACTGTCCTTCCTTTTGTGGCGTGTTCAGACCTGTTTGTCCAGTGCTAGATAACAATATGTGAATGCACACTGATACAACTGAGAAAATCTCTGCTCTTCTGAATACATAAACTACTTTTCATAGAACTCAAACTTGTGTTTACTGTATTCAAATGAAAGTATTTCTGAAAATTGCTGATGACTGCATCTGTTTGAATTCATCAATTCACTACCACTCCAAACATTTGATAAACAAATACCCTTGAACTGAAATTTCCCACGCCTGCAGTGTAATTACATTCTCCACTACTGCATTTGCTTCCCCTTTTTTTAAAGGGGGCCTGGCACACTGAGTAGACTGTGGCAGAATCACATTTGGCATTTGGTATTAATATACAGTACAAAAAGGTCTATTGAATCACGGAGTGACTCAGAAGGCAGTAGAGGAGGGCTTTTTGGCTGTGCAGAAATGTCAGTGGTTCAACATTAGATCAGAAATTTCTTTAACATGTTGTGAGGGACAGTTAGTTGTTTCATCTGATGTTAAAATGCAAGCAAAGCGAGTCTAGCAAGGTGCGGTGAGGAAGTGTGTGTCACATGCTCCTCCACAGGAAACGAGACAGGAGCTGCTGGGGAAGTTCAGAACTGGGTGACCTCCAACACATTCAAATAGCACAGGTTAGTTCTCTTAAAACATCTCTTTAGCTGTCCTGCAGGGGTTCTGCACATGTATTTTCACTGGATTGTGGCAGCAGTGGCTGAGGAGTGCTCTGTATGGCAGTTGTGTAGCGGGTAGTAAGCAGCATGGGATTTCCGAGCAGAACTCTACAGCGCAAAAATAGGAAGCTCATCTGTGAGTTAGCTTGGCTTGTGCAAATCTTGGAGCCTGCCTTGCAGTACAGCAGAAGTGTGGCCTGAGTCACGTTAGAAGTGTGGATGAAATCTTCTCCATCTTAAGACTTCCATAAAGTAAGTTAAAGGTCTGGATTTTTAATAGATGTGTTCAGTGTTAATAAATACTATAAAGCACTTTTCCAAGTAGAGGTTAAAATAATTGACTATAGTGAACATTTATTTTAGTTTGTTTTGGCTGTTTTGGCTCTTCTCTTTGATTTTACTGGCACAGTTTCTTGTTAAAGGTGTTCTCTCATTCCTGGTGATTTCTATTGAGAAATTGCACTTTTCTGTGCTGGAGTGTTTCAACTTGGGAGCACATTGCATCAGGAATGAAATGAAGCTAGGTTGGTGCTGGTGAATTTGGGAGTTCTCAGAGGGTGACTCTTTAATGGGATCTATGTTTTTTACCCCGGCACAAATATAGATTTGTTACTTCTAAAATACTATGCAATTGTGATTAATTACAAATCTGAAATGCAAAGTTGGAGTGAAAGTTACGAAGAAAAGAACTTTCGGGATAATAAAATGTATAATATAGTAAATGCACAGAATCTGAACTAAAATGAAATCGCAGTGTGGAGTCCACGTGGTGCTGGGAGAGTGTGGGGAAGAGGAGGTGATGGCTCCACAGCCAGCTCCAGCAGTGGTGGCTGGAGGCCAAGGAGCTCTCTCTGCACAGAGTCCCCTGCTAGCCAAGGGTCACAGCTTGTGAGGTAGAGGGGCTTGGACAGGGATGGTGGCAGCAATCTCACAGGAAATGCAGCTGCTGCTGGGGATGCCAGTGCTGTGACAAGGCCATGCCAAGCATTAAAATCAGATCTGAGCGTCAGGCAAGAAGTCCTACAGCTGCCCATACTTCTTCCCGAATAGTAAAAAAATATTTTTCTGGTCACGTAGAAAACCAGACTAAGTTTCACAGCTCTCTCACCCTCCTTGTACCACCTGAGCACTCATCCTGAGGTCAGTGTAGAAACATCTGCGCACGATGAGCGCAGTGGCTCGTGGCGGGCCAGGCTGCTGCCGCCTCCTGCACGTGGGGTTGGATGCTGCACCTGGTCCTGCTGCAGGGCATGGAGGGTCCTGGCAAGCTGGGAATAGCAGGGCCCTGTTCCCTTGGCAGTTAAACAGCTCTGTGGCTCAGCCTTGCAGAGCTTTGCTCTCGTATTTTGTGCTTTGGGGCTTTATACGCAGAGAAGGCTTTGGCCTTAGCTGGGCTCCTCTGCTTCTGTAAAACCAGCAAGTTTTCAGGGAGCCAGAGTTCTGCCCCAAATCAACCTTTCTGATGTATTAGGGTTTATAGTCTTCACTGGAGCACTGTTTAACTAGGACAGTGATTTAAAAGCAATTTAGTAAAATCCCACTGCAGACATTTTCATTTCAGCCTAATCCTGTCTTATAGCGACTCATCTCAAATAGATTAGGAGTTGTTTTAAGCTAAGTGTAATGGCTCGTAAATAATATATTTGAGCCTCCATGCAGTGGTTTGTGCCAGGTATTTGAAATGGAGTTAAAAAATAAACTGACACACATGCCTAAACAAATAAGCCCTAACAGTTTTACCCTGCTAACAGGAGTGAATGTAGGCAACCAGGATTGAAAGAGCTAGAGAGTTGTTGAAGAGGGGGGATTTCTGAATGGGCCTTTTCCAGCAGCTTGTATTATGGAAACCAGGGAAAGAATGTTTCTTCCTCTAACAAATTAGAAAGGAAATCTGCAAAAAGAGGAAAGGGAATAAAAAGTACAGACTAAACAAAATGAATTAAAATTGCATTGGAATGATAGAGAAGGAAACAAAAAAGAGAAAATAATAAAAAAATGAAACCAGATGGGGACAAATTCTCTTCTTAAGAAACAAAGGATATTCTTCTGCTGCACTTCAGAAGGAGGAGAGACTGTGTACGTGTGTTTGTACGTATATTATCTATGGAAGAAAAATTCATTTTTCTGTATGTTTTTTTAAATGGTTTGCTTTTTTTTCTTTCCCTTCAGCAATGCTAATATAGCAGTTTATTGATTTGAGGGAGCTTCAAATTTAGATTAAACCATCATTAAAGAATCTTTAATTCTGCAAATAAATAGAATAAACCACTCAATATCACTCACCTGAATCACTGGCCGGTTTTACTCCCCAGAAACAACATGGCTGCATTGCACTGTTGAACTTCTGTCCACTTGGATCCATAGCACAGGGTTATTCTACTCTCTGCAAGGGAAAAAGTAGGAATTAAATGTGCAACACCAGCTAAAGCAAACCGGAAGTGCACAGACCAGCTTCAGAGAGTTGATAGCAGAATCCCCTTGTGGGTTGCATTTCACCACATAGCTTATGCAAAGATTGCATGGCTGTGAGGGACTGGGGTCTTGAAACTGATTTCTAAATATAAGTAAATATGTAAAATGCTGAATGGCTACTGTTCTTATATTTTATTTCAAAATTACTGATTTTTAAAAATTTTATTTTGTTGGTTCTAATACTGAATACATCAATTGGTCGAGTGTATTTTTTGTGGGGGCATTATTTGCAGCTCACATCTTCCAGGCTGTTGCTTCTCCTTTTCTTCCCCCACACATTTGTTTCAGCTTTTGCACGTGTTTTTCTCTAGCCTAAACTACAGAAACCTCCTAATTACAAAGCTAGTTGTTGAGTCATATCTCTTACTAGGAGCAGCTGTTGTAGTGGATAACTCTGTTCAGTCATGCCATCACATCCGTGGCTTTTTATGCCTTTCTGTTTTCCTTCCACCATTTATGTTGGTTTTTGCTATAGTATGTATGCTATGCTGAAGTTGGAAGAATGGTCTTAAATTTGTTTGAGAATAAACTGGGTCCTCTGGCCTCAGTGAGCAATAAGGAGAACCCAGCCAGTGTGTTTTCCTGTTCTGATTGCCCTTTAGAAGGAGGGAAGCACTTTGCAGTATGCTGCCATTTTCTCATGCAGAATTTCTACTTATTCAAGGAAATACATAATGAACACATGCTCAGGCTCTGTGATCCCCAACAGTTCACAATTAATATTTCTTTTCCTTTCTTCCTTGCAGGATTGTGCAACTTGGGAAATGTTATTGCAATTTAATTAACTTCAGAAAGTGTATTCTGGACTGAATTGACCAGACCTCCTATTCTATGCAAGCATCTCCTGCTGGTAACCAGGTACAGAGGCTGTGGGGTTTGCACTGGGGGGTGGCAGTCATGGTGTGAGCAGCAGCACAGGAAGCTCCTCTGCTGTGTCCTGGCCTGTAAGAGTTGGAAGCCACAGAGCCACCTCATGTCTTAGGTTGCAGCGTGACAGTACAGGAGTCATTCTTGTCCAGGACTAGGATTAATGGCAGTGCCAGGTGCAGCATACTCTGATGTGCCACACCTTTCCTAATGTCAGATTTAGGTGCCTTAGGTCACATCAGATTTTATGCCAAATCCATAACATGTGCAGTGAGTTATTTCCTGTCGGTTTTTTTTTTTTTTCCATTCCAGTAGTACTAAGTTAACAGTGCAGGTTTTTAAGGTTTAGCAGGTAGGTCAGGAGACCTAAGGTATCATATGACCAGGCACAATGAATCTGTAGTTGTCCTCACTTAGAGCAGATGACATTACACTTGAAAACTGCACAGTGAAGCCTGCAATGTTTATGGCTTGGTGCTAATGAACTGGCATGGTATGAAAAGGTTCACTGAAACACATGGTTGCATGGTTAGTAAGAAAGAAAAAACAGTGTGTTTATTTTTTAAAATTTTAATTTAATGAATTTTTAATGAATTTTTGGTTTAATTTTATTCTTGTTGCAGCAGATGCTCCATCAGAAAGCATGGGCTGTAGATAGGCTGCAGTGTACTGATCTAGAGCTGGTGCAGTCCAGCAGATCAAATATTTCCTGTCTCAAATGCTCAAATGTTGTAAACCCTAACTGTGGCTTCCTTATGGTTAGTGGACCATGTAGAAACTGATGCTGGGAGGGTCCCAGAATGGTTTGGGATTTTGGGTCTCTGTAGACATGAGCACAAAATCATTCAGAGTTTCTTCTAAATTAAGTCTATATCTGGGCCAATTGGATTGATGCTTTGGTGTAGTTTTAGTAGTGTACTTGCTTTTGAAACCACAGTCTGGAAAAATTTGGGTGCTAGGCTTGGGAGATGGGAGAGGGAAGAGCTAGCCTCAGCAACAGACAAATGTCTCACTTCATTTGTGGATCCACAGCTCTTACCAGGCATGATGGACTGCTGCTGGATAAGGGTTGGTGCAAAGACTATTATTTGGTGGGGGTTTTTTCCACAGGACTGAAAAAGGTGATACTACTTTGTGGTCAGTAGTCAGACCTACCTGTCTGGATAGGAGGGGGTGGCCTGTTCAAAGAAGGGAGACAAGCAGATAAAGAAGATATCAGTATTTTTAAACTGACATTTATAAACTTAAAATGCAATACTGACATAAAGGTGATGTGTTGTCACTCTCACCCACTTCATGTATGATATGCGATTATGGAAGGTCCCAGGATAAGCTGTAATGATGACAGCATAAATACCACCTGTGAGGAAAGACTGGGGGAAATATAATTGCTTAGCCTAAAGAGGAGAAGTTCAAAAAGACATGTAACCAGTTTTCATATAACCATGAAGAGGAAAGAAATAAATTTTTATGCATCACTTGTAAACAGTGTGAAAAATAGTAAATGAAATTGCAGCAAACTGAGGTCTAAATAACGTACTGGGAAAAGTTTCATTAGCTGTTAGGATAACAAGATTAATGACAGGGATGTTGCAGACTTTCCATCAGTGGAGATTTTTAGAGAAAAAAAGAGATGAATACTGCCAGGAATGATATAATCTGTGGTGACTCAGGGGAAGGAAGGGTAGATGCCCTCTTCAAGCCCTGCTGTCTGTTGTTCTGTATTTCAGTGTCCTTGTTGACAGTGATTTTGAATTTTTCTGGTTATTGATGAAAGCTGAATAGTTATTTTAAAGGCGATAAACATTTCCATATGGATGATACAGTGTATTTCACATTCCACTTTTCAGGGAGGGAATGGAAAATGGTGTTTCTGAATTTCCTGAGGAGATCTTTCTCTTGGAAGTAAACAGATAAAATGAGTGCATTATGCTCTGCACTGTGTGAAAGTATTGAGTTATCATTAGCAGTGGCAGGTGATGACCAGGTCTGCTCCTGGTGTAAGAGGGGCACCTGAAAAGGCAGGCCCTGCTGCTTTCTCAGGTGAACAGTTGTGGGAAGCAGGAAAACTGTTTCTTTACATCATAGATCTCATAAGTCTGGTTGGTACTAATGAAAAACTTTGTATTCATGCTGGCTGTGTTGAGCAGCGTTCCCTAATAGCAAGTTTTGATGGATCAAGGCTGACCTGAAGAAGTGTTTGGCTGCAAAGTTGAGGCTTTGTTCATGCAGCAGCCCTGGTGCTGCTGTACCCTCTCTGTTCAGAAGCAGGGCTTTTTCTCTGTGTGGTGGTGCCTGGCCTGGCTCTCCCTGTGACCCAGCCTCCTGTGAGCCTGCCTGCTCACAAGGGCCTTGGCAGATGTGGAAGAAAATAATGATCCCTGCATCATCATTTCTTGAGGACTGCCAGTCATCAGGGCTGCAGTTTAAAAGAGAAAGTAGACTTCATGAGAGTAATAATAATGTCTTATGACCTGATAAAACCAATCTGAAGCTAACTTTCATCTGTGAGTTTGATTCAGATACTACAGGTCTCTGAGTTTAGAAAAAATTTGCTTTTTATCTAGAAGCTTGTGGCCTCAGATTTGAAGTAGCTCTTAACTCTCCATCTAAGTACAAATTCTGGTTTTGAAAGCAAAGATGTTAGGAGTTGTAGGCCAGTCTGCCATATGCTGAATTTAGCCTTCAAATTTACTTAAAATAAAGTTTAGTTTTACCCCTGCAAGCTAACCAAATCATTCAGCCAGTTTGGTCAGGGGTATGGCCATATTTACAGGATTCAGCAGATGTGATGATAACTTTAGCTGGGGTTCAACAACTGTGACAGCCACTCTCATTACAGATAAGGGAAATGGGTTGCCACCCTCCAATACTTGCTGTTTCAGGGCACCTGCACTGAGCCCTACAGCCTGCAGGTACCAGTCTGTTTTCTGAACTGCTGGTAGACTGGCACTAGCAAGGACAAATTACAGCAGTTCTCTGGAGTAGGAGGATTTGTTGAATGTTCTGAAGAGGAAATGCAGGTGCTGAATGATGGTATGTGGCTGCTTTTGGTTTTGTGGGTATGTTTTCATGACAGTTGGTATGTCATACATGCTTTTTTTTTTTAAGCTTGAACTACACTAAATTACTACTTTCATGCAATTTGGAAAACCTGCATTTGGAATACCAGCAGGAGCTCAGCTAGACCTGCTATCCTGAATGGAGGCCAATAACCTCCAAACCCTACTGTTCCCGGGGTCCCAGTGAGTTCCTGTGGTGCCACCTGTGTGGCAGGCTGCCAGCTGACACAGAGGTGCCATCCTGGCTGGGCACCACTTCCACAACACTGGCAGGAGCCAGGAGGCACTGCTCTGACCCTGGAGCAGCTGGATGAGGCACTTGTCTCTCCTCAGGCAATGCTTGTGGCTCCTGCCGAGTTCAGGCAAGGTGTGGATTTGTCCCTCTTGGCATATTCACCTTCCTGGCACATCTGCCTGGGCCTGAGCTATGCAGTCCCTGGATGTGGCCTCGCATGGGCTGCCAGTGCCGTGACCTGAGCTCCCTGGTGAACCCATGCCCTCCAGAGCAGACACCCACATGGCACACTGCCTTTGGCTACACTTGCTTCATGGAAACGTTTCATTGTTGAAGATCATAGAAAACAGAGAAATGAATATTTAAAATAAAATACAGATAACTGAGTGGAACCTATTGGTTTTTACTCACCATGACTTGGGAAACACTCTTTTGACATGTGTTGACTAAACCAGCTTCATAAGCATGAAGTGGAGGGTTGCTGTAGGTTTCCAGCCTGGGTAGCTGCAGTAGGCAATGCAGCTGTGCAGTTTTCCCCTCTCAGGAAAGCAGTCCAGGACATGCTTTTGTCTTTGTTTAGGAGGAGATCGACTAGTTTGTGTCCTGAGCTGTGAAAGACTTTGCCCTGACTATTTTTTGGCAGAATCCATTAATAATCATTCTTTCCAGCTTCTCCTCTTTGCTTACTAGCTAAGTACTTGCCATGTGCAGCTGTAAAAAGTTGTTTCCAAAGAGAAATAAACTGGAGCAAAAACTTCTGTAATTGGAGATGGGGAGGAAAGCAGATGGGCGTTTTCAATTTGTTGTCCTTGGATGCTTTTTGTTTCATTTGTGCCATGCTTTAAACCAGAGCCCTTTACAGAACTGTGTGCTCTCTTGCTTCTGCAATCTGTGTCCTCCCAGTCCTAGCTGGTACAGCACCAATTTGTCCGTGTGCCTTGTAAGACCAGGGGATAATGGGGGCAGTCAGCATCAGTCAGAGCCCTGTGCTTCATCACCAGTGCCATGGCAGTACATCAAGATAGAAATCTCTTCAACTCTCAAACTTTGACAAGACATAAAATTAGTTTCCCTCTCTTTTTTTTTAACCCAAACCCCACATTATTAAACATGCACTATTTAATAAATTTTAGTGCAAATTTTAGTGCCTCTCCAGGCAGATCAGGGAATTTAAATTCCTTCATTGTCTTTAATGTTAAATTAGAATTGCTTTGAGTTTGAAGGAACCAGAGACTGGTGGAAAACAGTACTGGTACCTTGCCATCTATTAGATAATTGCCAAAACAAGTAGAGAAATCTATTTCATAAATGAAATCTTCATCTTTACTTATAGGGCTTTTAACTGAATTATGAAACCTTAGATTATGTCACAGACAACTGTGTGCCCTTACTGTGGGTGTTTAAATTGGCATCACCTGCTGCAGATGTGTGCTGTGTACTTGGATGCATACATGCACATTTCATGGTCCCAGTATAGTTAAGTATTCAGCTCAAGGCCCAGGTGTCTAATCTGAAACCTCCAATTCAATGTTCTCACCTATATTTCATAAATGTATACATTGCATAAATATGAAGTCCTGCTGCAAAAGGAGATGGAAGGATTTATGTAAAACTGGCTTTACAAAGCTATCATGAGTAAAAGTTTTGTGGCTCTGTACTAGTAAATGAAACAAAGTGTAATTGTGGTGGGTCAA